CTCTCTCTCTCTCTCTCTCAATGTCCCTCTCTCTCTCTCTCTCTCTCTCTCTTTCTCTCCCTCTCTCCCCTGCTCGCTCCTACAGCAGCAGGCATAATGAGACGATGGCCGCTCCAGCCAGCTGCTCTGTCTTTGGGCTGCGGTTAGCAGAACTGAAAGCCCGTCATGTGGGGCTGGTGTCTTCAGCGTCTCCCTCTGCCCCCCACTCCCACCCTCACCCACAACTCTGACTCCTGTCTCTGGTCCGCAGGCAAATGGACAGCAACCACATCAGCTGCATTGAGGATGGAGCCTTCCGCGCCCTCCGCGACCTCGAGATTCTGTGAGTTCCTGCACCACCTGCTCCGGGGAGCCTGAGCCAGCTCCTTCTCTTTTCTCCGATCTTTCTTTCCCTTTTCCTCTCTGTCCGTTTTCTCTTCCTGAGTGTCCTCTGAGCGGCAGTGTGGCCTTGCCGGTCCCGCATTTATGCCAGTGAGTGGTGTCTCTGGTGGGTTTTGGTGGTTAGTGCTGATGATGAGTGTCTGCGGCGGTTTTGGTAGTTTGTTCTGGTGATGAGTGTCTGTGGGCTGGTTTTGGTAGTTTGATCTGGTGATGAGTGTTTGTGGGCTTGTTTTGGTAGTTTGTTCTGGTGTTGAGTGTCCGTGGGTTGGTATAGGTAGTTACTGATCTCTGTGGCTGGTGTTGGTGGCTAGTGCTGGAGATCAGTGTCTCTGGCTGGTTTTGGTAGTTAGTGCTGGCATCGGGTATCTGTGGTTTATCTGAGATACAGATACTACAGATAGTTTTGATAACATTCTCAAAGTCTTCCCCAGTGAGTGTGGGTCTCACCTTCCTGCAGGCAGTGTTGAACCTGTGGCTGGTAGACAAACCTCTTTTCAGATCTAGGACTCATTGTTAACTAGCTAAATGTGTGGGGGCTTTTGACCTCTCCTGCATAGCTTTTTGTTCCTAATCAGGGTTTACACAGATCGATTAATTATATGAGTAGAACCACTCTGGAGAAGCAGATCTTAGATAGCTAGATAAATATGGCTGGCATATAGGTGAATTATGTATATGTTAAATACGGTATTCTTTGGCTGATCTGAGGTGGCATTCAGCCATTCATTCATTGAACCTCTAATGCAGTTAACTGAACTGCACGTCATTCACACGTTCATCCGTTCACCAGCCAGCTGTACTGTTTAGCACTTTTGGCCTTGCCTTAAGTCGTGTCTCATATTCTTCATCGAGAAATTCATTTGTTCTGAAGCAGTCATTTACATTCCAGATTGTTTTATTACACAGTTATTAAACACAGAAATTGTTATACCGGGCCTGAGTGTGAAGTAAATTTCTGAGCAGAAACAGATAACGCTATTAAATTTGATGTTATGTAATCGTGCATCTCATTTGGTTTTTATCAGTACAAAAAGCAATATTGCCTTAGCGCAGAATATTGGTGATATATTGCAAATTCCTTGTGGATGATCATGGCTCATAGAGGACGTGTGCTGGTTCCTGTTTCTTGTCAAATTATCATCAAACTTGTAGCGAAACGCTGGGGCAGTTTGGAGATTGTTCAACACGGTGATGCTGTTTAAGGTCTCACAGAGGACAGTGTTCCAGGCAGGAAGGAGCAGGGCCATGTAAGTCCAGCCATCTCAGCTGGGATTCACCGGGATTCACTTGGGAAGTCCTCTCATGATAGGGGGAGGGTGTGTGGTTCACTGGGGTAGGGTACCATACCTGTGATAAGAAGGTTGCTAGTTCAAAACCCAGGGCCAGCAGAGTGATTTCATCAGTGGGTGTCTGAGTGAGGCCCTTAATCCCCAGATAATTTAGGGGCTGTCTGAGCCTGCTTTCTCAAAAATGCACATTGTTTTGGATAAAAGCTTCTGCTAAACGTAATGTGAATGTCATGACCGCGCAGCCAATTTCTCCTGTTTTTTAAGCGATCCCGTTATCCGGGAGGGCGACTCGCTTAAGCGACGGCCAAGGCGCAGTCACCCTTGGAAGTAACGTGGCTCCTCTGCTCCTCTCCAAATTAAAACATGAGCGAGCTAACGATTCGGCTAATGGCCTCCGAGCACGGCCGCCTTCCCTCACCCCCGATGCTGCTTCGCATTTCGATGAGCCAGAGTAAAGATCGCAGGCGTGATTCCGGCACGCTGTAAAAATCTGGAAAACTTTCAACCCGAAAGAAACTGCAATAAATTACAAAGTGGAGAAGCAGGAATGGCGGAGCAAGTCCTTACAGGGCTCATTCCAGAAAAGCACGTAGCTCTGAAAAATGAACACAGCTGCAAAAATATTCCAGCATTGAAAAGTATGTTAGTAATGATAATAATTCAATTTGCTTGTATTTCTTCTTTGATATTTCTTCAGACCATCGGTGACACGTTTCCCAGGGAGCATGAACACATGACCTCAGTGCATGCTTTGTCTGTGGAGAGTTAATACCTTTAATAACGGCCTTCCGTCTGTGGAAATATGCCCCATTTGAACAGGTGGCTTTATTAAATTTAAAGCACGTGGCCTGTTGCACGGAGACAACGGCATGAAATCGAGACGGTCCGAGGAAAATAAAGGACATTAAAGCCGCTGTGATCCAGTGCTTCTCCATTTCATTGTTCACTGAGCAGATACAATGCAGGGCCATCTGCCTGTAAGCAGGGAGGTACGGGACCCACTCACCGGCATCGCTTATCAAAACAGAACCCGCTGTTTAGGCGTGAGCAGTGCTAACCAGAACCAGAACAGTAACCACAGCCCTCTCAGGCTCAAAGGTGGGTCTTCAGATTTTAGCATCGATAATCTCAGACCCTGAACCACACTCTTTGCTGAAAGCTGCGGTCTAGTTGGTGGATTTTCATGTGCAGTGTGTTTTTCATTAAATAAATGATTATTAATAACTGTGAGTTCTCTGAAGAAACGGGAATGAATTATAGTTTTCAATGTTTTCATGAACATATCTTCTTGAGATAAGATGTTGTCCTGATGGGATTCTGAGGAATGTCTCCCTGAGTACTTGTCAGATCTCTCGTGAACAATCCAGACGCTGGCTGATTCCAAACTCCTCTGAGAGCCAGGGGTCAGCCAGTTATGTCCGCCGCCTGCAGCAGAGCAGTGAGCAGCTCTGCTGACTTCACCCCAAAGTGGTGGGGTGTTGCTCACAGGAACACCATGTTGATTCAAAATGACCCCAAGTCTTTATTTTACTTCCCTTTTTTTAACATTAACACCTTGCATGTATGCAAGCATGGGCTTTGTGGAACATAGAGACGTTCTCTGCAATTTATTTTTCAGACACTCTTATCCAGAGCAATAGACGTTTTAGACACTCTGTGGAGCATTTGGCAGTTAAGGGCCTCGCTCAGGCACCCAATGATGAAGTCGTTCTGCTGAGCCTGGGATTTGAACCGGCGACCTTCCAATCAGAGGCACAGCATCCTAAAATGCCAAGTCACAGACCACCTGCATCTTTCAGGAGGTGGATGGCAGGGACTGTCAGGAATGCAGGAGGCAGGGCCAGACGGTGTTCTTCACCCTGCAGTTTCCACTCACGGAACTGCAGGCTTTCTGGAGACCTTCCTGCAGGCCCTCTTTTCAAGGAGCACAGGGGTATTTGATGAATTACTCATGCATGCTGGTAATTCGGAGTACACAGTCATCTCCAAACCAATGACTTTCATTTAGCTGTGGCATGGACTTTTAATTTGCTGAGGGCCCAACCCACAATTTCGGTCAGCCAGTCCCCCTGGCACGTGCATCGCAGGGAGCCGTGATCTTAGATTCCTGGAGCCAGGTGACATCATCAAGAGGTCCAGGGAGCACGGATGTCTCTGCTGTTAGCCCCGCCACCATGGAAACGGCATTTATAAACCCATGAGATGAATTCTGGGTCTCTGACCCACAGTATCCCCTTGGCATGGTTTTGACAACACGTGTGACACGCTAAACAAAGAGACCTGTGGTGACGTTTCGTCTGCCAGATAATAGTCTGGTTATATAGCGTGTACTAAGATCAACCCTCGTGCCTGACCTGAGCAGGCAGAGAAAAAGACGGCCCGAGGACTGAGCCGAGTGGACCCCCCGAGGTGACGCTAATTAGCAATTCTATGCCTCTTTAATAGCTGACAGCAGCCCACCTCCTTGTGGAAGCTATTGATCTGACCTCCGCATGGCCGATTAAACTGTAGTCCTTAGCTAAATAATGTGGCTGTCACCATGATGGACGGGAAGGTGGGGGCAGGAACAAGCTCAGTTGAGAGAGGGGGCGAATCATCGTGATGTTTTTAAGCCCAAGAAATGCGCCTGCCCCCAGACAGAGCCTCCTCCGTGTTATTGCGGTCACGGTGCTGCGTGGTGGTATCAGGTATGATCTGTAAGTATCTCTTCTGCTGGCTTCACACCGGGGGACAATTTATCATGTCGCTCTGAGCGTCTGGAGGTAGGTGCAGCTTACACCCGATCTGTCCACGTTTATGATATAACGGCCTCGTCAGCGCTCCGCTCATGTCGTCCCTGCCACCCCCACTGCTCGGGGCTCCCATGGGTGTGGCCTTTTCATCACCTCCTTCTGGAGAGGGCTCAGGGTTCGCTTTCCAAGCATAAAGCTCTGGTGTCTTTGCTTTTGTTTCACTGATCCTGCTTTCAGGTTTGGGGCTCACGGTGTGGACCTGGTGCTACTGGTGATTGTAGGCCTGTGTTTACCCTTAGCGAGGTTTTGTTTGAGTTAGTGGCGTAGCATTCAGTTGCAGATCCGTGCTTCAGCAAAGCTCCCCGTGCTTTGAAAACAAAGGCAGACCCATTCCCATCCTGTTTGGACCGACTCCGTCACACTGCAACAAGTTCTGCAGAGCCCCCGGATCCCGTAACGAAATTAGCCCTCATCTGGGGGCACTTTGTTCATTTGTTTTGACTTCGAGGCCCGACTCAAGGCCGCCTTGACACTACGGGCGCTGTTGCCGTGGTGTCGGTGACTAGTGGCGCATTTTCCCATGGTGCTCTCAGGATTCTGAAACAGACAGAAAGATGCAGAACCTTCCTCATGTTTTGAAGGCCACTCTGTCTCTCACATGTGCACAAGCAGGGAACCACACTCTTCCTATCCTAGGGTTGAAACATATAATCAGGCTAGAAATCCCAGGCGCTGTGACAGGCGTCACACCTACACTGTGCCCTGTCTGCCCCCCACATGGTGTGTCTGAAATCCTGCTCTGCCTGCCTCTCCTCCTCTCCTGCCCTCATGTTACTCCCAGCTGTGCCTTCCTAACTGCCCCTTCCTTCAGGCCATTTGTGTTCCCAAGAGTCGGGAGAATCACAAGGAGCAGATAGAAAGACTTCAGTAATTATGGGAAGCCTGTGTGGACGTGGCCACCATACTGCTCACAGGGAATGCAGACAGTGAGCATTGATTCCGTGGTCTCCAGCAAACTAGCATGGAGGTCGAGACTGAGCCTGAAGATAGCACTGTCTCGAGGGCGCTGTTTCCTCATAATCACTGTGGTTATTCAGTTTTTATATGTGCTCTACCAGCATTTCCATGGCATATGAAACCAAAATATTTGTAATTAGGAAACTTAAAGCTGCAGTGAGTGCAGAGTGAGACTTTACTGCCTGGCTGCAGTGTGTGCAGTGTGAGACTGTATAACCTTACTGCAGTGTGTGCGGTGCGATAGTTTACAGCCTATATGCGGTGTGTGTGAGCAGTGTGGGACTTAACTGCCTGGATGAAGTTTGTGCAGTGTGAGATTTTGCTGCTTGGATGCAGTGTTGGCCGTGTGATAGCTTACTGCCTGGCCACAGTGTATGCAGTGTGAGACTTTACTGTCTGGATGCAATGTGTGCAGTGTGTGCAGTATGAGACTTCGTTGTCTGCCTGCATCTTGTCTGTAGTCTCGACACAGCTCTTCTTCTCAGTGCTGCCTGCTGCCCTCGTCTCATGCTTCTTGTAAATCAGCCTATGTTTTACGGCTGGGGAGGTGCTTTTGCCTTACTCACAGATTTGATCCCTCGCCACTCTTCTGTGGTCTTCTCAAGGTTGTATCCCTTCCCCTTCCAAGATTACTGCCAGGTATTTGGGTAGCAGAGTTATTTTTTAACTTACGTTGCTATTGCTGCCGCCTCTCCCCCAATCACGGGTCATACGTCACTGCCCGCCTCCCCCGAAACTCTGGCAGGGCCCCGTGTGAGAGCCTTGCCGCCATGCAGGGATCACGTTACGCTGTGTGCCGAAGACGTCGCCCCTGCGTCCTCCCGCTCAGCAGAAAAGCCATCTTCCCTCTCTTGCGGTTGTTATGTTTTACCCCGTTCTTACTCCCCCTCCGATTCGTTATAAATAAAACCTTGAAAATGCCACAAGTATGGTAATGTTTGGGAAGGGATTATTATACCGTAAAGTGGGAGGCCATTCCCTCGGGGGTGGGGGGGGGGGGTGCTCGGACGCACATCAGCGGACCGCCGCACCACGGGCCGCATGGCGTTTGACGCTGGCCGGGAGGAACAGCCTCGCCGTCTCTCGGTAACCCTGTCATTAAGAGGTAAAGCTGTAAAGCGCAAGTTGCTAGGAGGCGCCGTTTAGCTGCTTTCTCAGCGCCATTTAAGCCCTCATCGTTCAGCTGGGGGGGTTAGGGGGTTTCGCTGTGGGGTTGGATTGCAAAGTTACACTATTTGCAATAAGAAGCTTCACCCATACAGATTTGGCACCACGGACTGCTTGTGGGGGTGTCCCTGGCAGGGTGGGGTGTGGGGAGCAGCAGAGACTCACCAGATTCCAACCCCCCCCCCCTTAGTTATGCTAATGAAACCCCCCTCCCTCTCTGTCTTTGCAGCACCCTCAACAACAACAACATTTCCCTCATTCCACTGTCCAGCTTCAACCATATGCCCAAGCTGCGGACTCTGTAAGTGTCACTGATTACCTCCATTGTTGTCATTATTGTATCCTTAATTATTTAGCTTCTAGGCAGTTCTGCACTATCCACTCTGAATGCACCAGGCCACAGGTTAATCTCCTTCCAAGAGCGTTGCTGTGTAATTCCCAACATGGTGCAGCAGGGGCCGTGGCAGATTCAAACGTGCCGCTGTCGCTGCGCAAAATGCGCCACAAGTTCAGAAGGCCGCCAGCCTGCCAGCACAGGCGCCGCCTGGGAAAAGCCCCGGTGACTGGTCTGCGGCCCCGTGTCACAGCACGGCATTTCAGCTGTCAGGATGCGACCGCGATGGATGAGACCCGCGGGCTGGCCAGCCTCCCTGGAACGTGGTCTGACCATGGCCGACCTTCACCTCTCCCGCCGCCGCCTCAAGGTTGGCCAGTTTGGGCCTTTTCGAGGAGGGGTAGGAAGGTTAGAGATGAAAATATGGAGCCTCCCCTCCCCCAGAGACACTGCTGTAGCCCCACTCTGGTGTTGACGGGGACCCCCCGTGATTTTTGGGGGCACAGGGGTCTGAGATTTTCCACTTTCCCGAAGAGGACGGCCCCCCCATCCATCAGGAAGGCCGACAGGCCCAGGACCCCATCCCCCTGGCCCCGGGGCCCCTAACCTCTTTTGCGGGATTGAATTTGCTGACGCTGTCCTGGCCAGACCTCCAGTTCTCTGGGCAGTATTGAATTATCCACACCAGCCCACCACACAACTCCCCCCCCCCCCCCCCCCTCCCTCTGCCTTTGTATTGAATTTTCTTCCAGTAATATCCATGAGGTCTCAATATTGAATTTTTTGCTTGTAAAAACAGCTTATTAAATCAGATGTTTAGAGATGTCTGTAATCTGTTTAGTGGGGCTGGGGGGTGGGCTTCTGGTTTCTTATGCGGGGGGGGGGGGGGGGGGGGGGCGGTTCATCCCACTTCCACGCAGCCGCCTCCATTTCATTACCAAGATGGATGTCCCCTGAGCAGGCTGGGGAGGGGGCGGGGGCAGACACGGAGAAGAGAGTGCCCCCCGCTGCCTGATGACCACGCCACCCGCAATCTTTCTGCTGGTCTCAGCTGAATGAAGCCGTCCTGGTCCGGGTCGTCCACGTCTACGCCTGCATTTGCGGCCTCCTTAAATCCCCCTGCCCCAATGCCAGTTTAATCCCACTTTGCCGTGATTAGTCCCAGGCTACGGCAGGCCATAAACAGGATTTTCAGCAGGAGGGGCTTGTGAATCTACGCCATATTGCCGTCTTCAATGAGCAGAAATATGCCGCTAACAGGATTTTGCAGAAATGACATAGACAGGCCTGAAAAGTGTCACGCTGCCTTTTGTGGCTATTTTTCATCCGTCTTTTATTTTTTGTCTTATAATGGGTCCCAAGGTGCAGTCATTTGAAGGGCAGCTGAGGTAGGGGGGGAGGCATGGAGCCCCAGAGGCTGCCACGCTGGCAGTGCGTTACCATTAGTGCTGTTGGCATCAGTTAGTATCAGCATTAGCAATTATAGTATCAGTTTTAGCACCAGCATTAGCATTAGCAGTGCCGGTGTCAGTGTTAGCACCAGCATTAGCATTAGCAGTGCCGGTGTCAGTGTTAGCACCAGCATTAGCATTAGCAGTATTGACATCATTGTTAGCATTAGCAGTGCCGGTGTCAGTATTAGCACCAACATTAGCATTAGCTACCTGCATTACTAATAACATTAGCGTATATTTTTCACTTAGATGTCTTCAGACACATGTCTGATTCCTATTATCACCTCGAATATACAGTATTAAAATAGGATCTCGGAAAGATTCCGACATCATGACAGAGCATGAAACTAGTTGTTCTCTCATCGACTGGTCAGTGATCATCTTCATGATCTTCCAAAGCAATCAGCCAATCACAGGATTCAAAGTGACCAATCAACAAAGTGGAGAAATCCAAAGTCTCAAAACTCAACCTGTGGCGCGAGCGAGTGTTGAGCAGAAGCGGAGAGGGTCCAGCGAGTGCAAGCGCGTAGAGGGGTTTTCTGTTCACGCCGCATGCATGCACCTGCTTCGAGTTTTAAGAATAATTTAACGCAGTGCGAGCGAGAGAGTGATTGTTGTGCAAACACATAGAGAGGATGGGCTTTCTGCTGAGACTAATTGAACGCCATACCTCATACCATCTCCTTCCACAGGCGTCTGCACTCCAACAACCTGCACTGTGACTGCCACTTGGCCTGGCTCTCCGACTGGCTCCGGCAGAGGAGAAGCCTGGCACCGTTCACCCAGTGCATGACCCCCGCCAACATGAGAGGTCTCAACGTGCCCGATGTGCAGAAGAAGGACTTTGTGTGCACAGGTAGGTATTTACGATGTGAGTGACCTGGAGTGACGTGGTGGGAGACACTTGTGTGGCTAACTGGCCTCCGACCTGTCTTGGGTGAAATGCATCAGTACAGAGATGCCTTGTTCATCCACAATATCCTCCTCTTCAGGCCCTACCCAAGCAGAACCTCGCACCTGCGCACCTCAGGCCTCGGTCTGCCCGGCGGCCTGCACCTGCAACAACAACATCATCGACTGCCGTAGGAAGGGCCTTACAGAGATCCCTGCTAACCTTCCCGAGGGCATTGTGGAGATGTGAGTGATGTGTACAGGCCACACCCAGTGTCTGCATATGCCACACCCAGACCACACCTAAATGGACCGCCACCCAAGCCACACCCCTAGATCAGATATTATTTTTCCTAGGCTTTGACTATTCAGTGGCTCTGTTTTTCATGCTTCTAGGCCAATCAGGAGTCCTTACTCTGCTAGAAATGTCCCCTTAACCCCCAGAGATTTGTCCGAAGTCTCAAGGTTTAATGTTATTTCCTCACACCAGCAGGATTGCCTGTTAATTCTGCAGTGAGCCCCTGTAACCTGGGTGCGACCATTTCATGTATAGATTAGCTGGCGAAAGCTTTCTGTTTGCGTTGTTAAGGTAGTACTGCTCTGCATGTGACGGCGTCCGTTTCAGCATGCTCTGGTTTCTGTGTGGGGGATGACCTTTCTGCTGAAAAGCCAACGTCAGGTAGGATCCATTACTCAGTGCTGCCTCCCTCGTGCCCTCAGAGACGGACGAGTCCGGGTAAACGTGCACGCTGTGCTCGCTGGGGCCATTCGCTGCCATTCCCTCCCTTCCTGTTATCGCTACATACCGACGGGCTGAGCTGCTTCTCATGCTCACTGTCCCCTGAGGCTCTGAATCCATTCCTCTTCGTCACACCTGGGTGCCCCGAAATGAGTCGTGGGATGTGGATGGCTTTCTGACCCCAACATCCCCCTCCCCACACCACTGCCTCCTGAGATAGAGGATGGATGTAACTGATGCAGGGTGGGGTTAGGGTTAAGGGCAGAGCCCGGACAGAGATGAGGCAACTGTGCAGGCAGAGGGCAAGGAAGACCGGCATGCACATGCAAACTTAAATACAGACATGGAAATACCCACTCAAACACACTATCAAATTCACAGTCAAATGCATGTCTAAATACACTAAAATACACATATATAATCAAATGCATATTTGAATACACATCCAAATACATCTAAAATCATACACAATGACGCACTAATATTCACCAAATTCTCATACCGTCTTACACACTCTCACAATCAGGAGTGATCGGGTCCATGTTAGGTAGTGGCTGTCTACCTCTAGGGTGCCTCATGTAGGTCCACAGGGCCACAAAACTGGGCTTCTGTGACGTGGCCAAGTTGGACGGGCCGTGGCAGTCAGACAGAACCTGTGTTTTAACCACCCTCATCTGCTCTCCCCTGTAGTCGCTTGGAGCAGAACCTGATCAAGAGCATCCCTGCCGGGGCCTTCTCTCTCTACAAGAAGCTGAAGAGAATGTGAGTGCAGAGTGCAGGGGTGGGGGGGATTCATCCAGCCCCCAGCTGTACCTCATTCCTGACCATGCCCCTCCCCCATCTGTACCTCATTCCTGACCATGCCCCGCCCCCAGCTGTACCTCACTCCTGATCATGCCCCGCCCCAGCTGTACCTCACTCCTGACCATGCCCCACCCCCAGCTGTACCTCACTCCTGACCATGCCCGGCCCCCAGCTGTACCTCACTCCTGACCATGCCCGGCCCCCAGCTGTACCTCACTCCTGACCATGCCCTGCCCCTGCCTGTGAAAATGCCCTGCTTTATAACACCTAGTGACAGCCCTGTTTCTCTTTCACTCTCCGACAGAGACCTGAGCAAGAACCAGATTTCCGACATTGCAGCTGATGCCTTCAGTGGCCTGCGGTCCCTCACCTCACTGTAAGTTGTAAACCATCGCACACTGTAAGCACACTATACACAGACGCTATACACACACTATAAATATACACTGTTAAGCACACAGTGTAAAGTCACAGTGTAAACGTGCACTGTAAACATGCGGTGGACATATTCCTGACCTAACGTAGATGAATAGAGAAGTGAAACAGCAGTGGAATGTGCACAGACACCTAAAAACATAATCCTGCAAATACACACCTGCAAACACACACCTGCGCTAACAGAGAATGTGCTGTAAGACGGAATTAGAGTGGACATATACACATATACATACACAGGCACAGTAAGAAGGCGGGACGCAGACAGCTCAGAATCTGCCAGTATCTGCAGCTATGGGGCACAGTGGCATCTCTTTGAATCTCCATTTAAATGTCCGGAAGACGAGTGACACGTGTGGGGGCTGCCTGGGGGGGCAGACACATTAGAGGAGGCCCCCCATCCGCCCCCATCTGCTTCAGGAAGTCATTAGCACCTTGTGTAGCTTCGCTGCTCCTTATGGGAGCAGAATCGGGTTTGTCACACTTTCACCAACGCTCTGTCCCATTACCATTGGCAGCCCTGTGATTACTCTTCTCCTTCCGCTGTCATCCAGAAGTACAGTGTATCCTTAACCACCAGGCCCCCTGCTGGTACCCAGAGCAGAACGCATTTGCAGGAAATGATTTCAGGTGCTTACGTAAATGGAGCACGCTTGTGTCCCCACAGGGTCCTGTATGGGAACAAGATCACCGACATCCCCAAGGGACTCTTTGATGGGCTGGTGTCCCTGCAGCTCCTGTAAGTCCCTGGAAAAGGCTGTGGGGGTGGAGGACTGTGTGTGTCACTTTGTGTGTCTGTGTCTGCCTGTGCCAGTTTTGTGTGTCAGCGTCTGTCTTTTGTGTTTGTGCTTCGTGTCTCTATGCGTCTCTGTTTGTCTCTGTATGACCTGTGTGCGTGTGTGCTGCACATCCTCCAAGAACCTCTCTCTCGTCCGGAACGCTCACCACAGCGTGCGGCCGCCTTTGTGAGATCATTAGCATCTAAATGGACCGTGATTACAGAGTACGTCTCTCACACCTGGTTATGCGGATGTCGAAATGGAAACATCGCTCAAACGTGACGCCGGAGCCCAGAGGGCCGCCCGTGTCTCCAGCTCTTTATCCGTTTCACTAGACGGAGATGCTTGGGTCTCTGCTTGTTTGTGTGTTTACAGTTTGCGGTGTGCGTGGGGGACGGGATGGGGGGTGGAGCCGCTCTTGGGCCCCGGGCTGCTCACCAAGCAACTTGCTTTGGTTTATTTTTTACCCTCAGTACCCCCAGACAGGGGCCAGTTTCTTGTTTCTGGGGGCCCACTTGAAAGGCCACTTCAGGGGCCCCCACAAATGCATGGTTTATATGGTGGTAAACACCTCCATTGCCCCCAGACCTCATTAGCCTAATGATATGAGGACAAAGCACACGGGTGGAGTTGGACCAGCCCCGATGCAATCAGTAGTGCTGTCCTGGCCTGTGCTGTGTAGCTGTGTTACTCTAGGCTGCCCTGTGTTGTTTGACCTATGTTAGTCCAGTCTGGCCTTTGCTGAGCGGCCTGTGTTGTGCCAGCCTGCCCTGTGCTGTATGGCCTGTATTATTCCAGCCTGCCCTGTGCTGTGTGGCCTGTTTATCCAGTCTGCCCTGTGCTGGCTGGCCTGTTTTACTCCAGCCTGTCCTGTGGTGTATGGCCTGTGTTACTCCAGCCTGCCCTGTGCTGTCTGGCCTGTTTCTCTTGTCTGCCCTGTGTTGTGTGACCTCTGTTAATCCAGCTTTCCCTGTATTGTGTGGCCTGTTTCTCCAGTCTGCCCTGTGCTGTGTGGCCTGTGTTACTCCAGCCTGCCCTGTGCTTTGTTCCTCTTTCTGTTGTGTTGCCTATGTTTCCAAGCTGTCCTGGGAGTGGTATTGGTGCATTGTGGCCTCCCTTTCCTGTGACTTCAGTCATACCAATGGTAGTGGTGTATAGTACTAATCATGATGCTTACACTCTTTCACCTTGACATGCCTGCAGGCTGCTCAATGCCAACAAGATCACCTGCCTGCGAGTGAACACCTTCCAGGACCTCCAGAACCTCAACCTCCTCTCACTGTACGACAACAAGCTGCAGACCATCAGCAAAGGCCTCTTTGCACCCCTGCGGTCCATCAAGACCCTGTGAGTGCCAGGTCTGCCCTCTGGGGGACGGGGTGGGGCCAGGGCTGGGGTGGATGGGGTTAGGGTGTGGGAGGGCGGAGCAGGGCAGGGTCAGGCAGGATCGTGGGTCATGGAGTCGCCGGATAGTGCATCCGGAACTGGGGTGAAGCTCCCGTGTCAGACGTCACATGCTGTGCTGCCATGGCGACAGTCACTCCCCGTGTCAGCCACGTTGAGGGTGACTCTCCTTCTCTGTGCTCCATCAGACATTTGGCCCAGAACCCCTTCATGTGTGACTGCCACCTGAAGTGGCTGGCCGACTTCCTGTTCGACAATCCCATCGAGACCAGCGGCGCCCGCTGCTCGCACCCGCGCCGCCTGGCCAACAAGCGCATCAGCCAGGTGAAGAGCAAGAAGTTCCGCTGCTCAGGTAATCAGCCACCGTGTGTCCTTGTCAGGATGGGAGGGGCTAACTAGGGCCCTGGGGCTGGGGGCCGTGAGCTTGGGTTTGGGATTTACAGCCCGTGCTCAGTGGGATTTCCTCTGGGTATCAGTGGGAATCTCTCAGGACTCTCTCTTACCAGGCCAATGTGATCTGCTTTGGACCATCTGCCTTGAAGTCTTTTTTTTTCGTTAATTCATTCTTTGGTTAGTCTGTTTGTTCAGGGTGCCTCTCTGTTTGACGTAGTGGGGTGTCTGTGTGGTTGGGGGTAGAGACTTTCTTCAATGACCCCACCTACAACCCGCCCCCCCAGCCCAGGCCACGCCCCCAGCTTCCTGGCTGCTCTGTCTTAGTTGCCCCTGTCGCCCTCGCCCTCCTCTTCTGCTGCAGCTGTCTCTTGTGCTTGATCTAACCATGTGCCGCCGCCTGCGCTCGCCTTCACATGGTTCCGTCAAGCACCAGGGACCGCTGGGCACCCGCACGCAGCATGGCATTGTGGGATAGCACTGCGGGACTGCCGCTTACCCCTGGCGCAGTGGAGCAAGGCAGCACAGAGAAAGGATGACAGCAAAAGGGGGAGCGCTGAGAGGGGCCGGCGAGGCTGAAGATGGCTCCCCCTTCACCGCTGTAGGGATTCTGGCTCCGTTTTTGCTGTGGCTCTCTGAGATGTGAAAGCATACCTGCCCCCCCCCCCCCCCCCCCCCCCCCAAAAAAAAAGCCAGCATTGTCACCAGGGTTATTCTCAACCATTGTGTGAGTGTGTTTCTGAGTTTCTGTGTGTGTCTGACTGTGTTTGCATGTGTCTGTGAGTGTATGTGTGTTTGTGACTCTCTTTTTCTGTCCGTGTCTCTGTGTGACTCTGTTCTGTCTGTGTCTCTTTGTAACTCTGATCTGTCTCTGTGTGGTTCTGGTCTGTCTGTGTCTCTTTGTAACTCTGATCTGTCTCTGTGTGACTCTGGTCTGTCTCTGTGTGGTTCTGGTCTGTCCGTGTCTTTCTTTTCACTTCCCTCCTGCATGTTTTTTCGAATGCAGTTTCTCAGTTTGTCACACCGTACATCAGTGTGGTAACATGGACCTGTGCTCGCTGTGTGTGTGTGAGTGTGTGTTTGTGTGTGTGTCCCTCCTGCCTGATGGATGGCTTCTCCCCAGGCTCAGAGGACTACCGGAGTCGGCTAAGTGGGGACTGCTTCCAGGACCTGGTGTGCCCTGACCGCTGCCGCTGCGAGGGCACGGTGGTGGACTGCTCCAACCTCAAGCTCACGCATGTCCCTGCCCACCTGCCAGACCACACCACTGACCTGTGAGGGCACACGCCAGCACACACCTGCAACCACACTGCATCCTGTCATCATTTTGGATCCACAGCAGCCAGGCCAGACATTACCCTCTGTCTGTCTGGCTTCTGTAGGTCCAGCAGGCTGACAGCTGAAGGCCTGGCTCATGTATGCCCTGTCGGGGTCAGCATTTCCTCTGACAGTCCCCTGATAAGGTTCATTGTTAATATATAGAGGCCTTATTTGCAGCCCATGCCCTTAGATTGGCTGTTTGTGCATCATGGTGGTTAATACACCTCCACTGGCTCGATTTAAAGCCACTGACATCCACTGTCAGCATCTCCCAAGGCGCCGGTCGCCAAGGAAACCAGGCAGTGCCCTTCTGCGCTCAGCGGAGGACGGGCCAGTCCTGTCTGGCACACTCATCAATCACGCGAAGACCCCTGTGTATCTGTCCCCATTCTCCAGCTGTTCACACACCGTCAGGCCTGACTCCGCCCACTACACACCACACGGCAGCTGTTAACCATTCAGCTGCCCCCACACAGCTACGCTGAGTGTTTAGAATGATGCCAATGGGATCCGTCAGTATCGCTTGGCTCCCCCTAGGGGAGAGAAACTGCGATGACTCTGCACTCTGTGCTCCTCTGTGCCATCATCCTTCGTCCTGACCCTTTGTCCTCTCTCCCTGACTCTAATCCCAACAGGCGCCTGAATGACAATGACATCGCCGTCCTGGAAGCCACGGGGACCTTCAAGAAGCTTCCAAACCTGCGCAAAATGTACAGCCACGTCCCGTCGTCATCTTTTAAAAGGAGCGAGCTGTCTTTGGTGGGGGGGGCAGCCTGACTGCAGCTCGGTCTCTCTTTTCTGCTGTGTAGCAACCTGAGCAACAACAAACTGCGTGACATCCGAGAGGGGGCCTTCGAGGGGGCAGGCAGCATCCAGGACCTTTTGCTGACGGGGAACCGGCTACAAAGTGTGCATGGGCGCATGTTCAAGGGCCTCACAGGCCTAAAGACACTGTGAGTGTGGAGGGTGGGGTTGGGGATTGGTTGGGGCAAGGGGGAAGGGGGCGGAGCTTGGACAGGAAGTGGGCGGGACCATGATGAGGAATGGACAGTATGTAAAGAAGGGGTGGTTTTTGGGTGGGGAGAGGCCTGGGTTTGGGTGGGACATGCACAATAAGGGAGTGAATAAGCAGGACAGGTGAGGACAGGGTGGAACATCCTTTTTTAAAGGAGAGTTGTCAGTCATGTGCTTCCTGTTTATTGTGTGCATTTATGTATGTTTGGTGCATCTTACAGAGAGACACATGTGGAAACAAACGTGAGGCACAGCCGTGCAAGCGCACATGCAAACACGATAAACAGCTGCACGCAAATACGGGCAAACACTGACCTTAAACGCCCCCAGAACAGAATGCCCTCACTGGACAGCAAAGTCTGCAGTTTATTCAGGCTCATAGTATCCAAGGGCAACATCAGCCACACAGAAAGACTGCAGGTTCATGGGTAATGAATACTGCTCGTTAGATATAAAAACAAGAAAACAAGACGTTTATAGCCTCAGACGGCTGGGAAGGCCTTCAGAGAGCTGAAACGGCCCGTAATTAGCAAACCTGGGGAGGGGAACGTGTTGGAGTCAGCAAACAGAATCAAGCACTAGCCCCCACCCCCAGTCTCAGGAGAGATGGCCAGATTGAGTTTGTTCGTGTGGCAGCACCAGCAAGCTGAGCTCCCTGGTCTGGTTTATATTCTCCAGTTTGCACAGAGGGTTATAAGCTCTGATTGCTTTGGCTGGGGTCTCTCCAATCTGTCTGCCCCTTAATGCTCTCCACCTCACTCCCCCCCGCCCCCAATTTCTCCCACTTGTTGAGGATGCAGCTGATGAGGGCACACCTTACCACAGGGGGCGTCACTGTAACCCCATTGTAATATCGCCCCCCCCCCCCCCCAAGCACATAACCCATAACCCTCATGATTGTAATTATTTATTTTCCATTATCCTAATCAATTCATTCTGATCCCTGTGACCAGTATAGGGCTTAAAATTAAGACTTGACTCAGAGCACCAGCTGGTGTCCGAACCTACAGCCCAGGTCCTTGATCACCTGCTGAGGACTAGAGAGATGCCCATTTCACTGTGTCCCAGTTCTGTCCTTGGGCTCGACCAGTCAGGAGGCTGCCTAGCGTGTGCAGTATCTCTTATTGGTCAACTGATGCCCCCTGTGTGTTTCCAGGATGCTGAGGAGTAACCTGATTAGCTGTGTGGATAACAGCACCTTCACTGGGCTGAGCTCTGTGCGTCTGCTCTCCCTGTATGACAACCGCATCACCAGTGTGGCCCCGGGGGCCTTCAGCACGCTGCACTCGCTCTCCACCATGTGAGTACGGCCCATCCGCAGCAGCACCCGGGGGGGGGGGGGTGCGTTTAGGGGTGGAGGTCCAGAACAGAGTTAAAATCCCAGAAGCATGTTGCTCAGAGACCAAGACATCATCTGCCTCTTTTAGTCTCGCTCACTGTCTGCCTCATTTTCACTACCACTTAATTTCTCTTCTGTTTTCATTTGTTGTTCCATCCTGTCTTTCACTTGCAATTCTCCCTCCTCCTCACATCCCTCTCTTCTCCTTCCTTCTCCATTTGATCCCTCTCCTCTCCTCTCTGCCTTACTTCTTTTTCATCTTGTTCCTTCTTTTTCTCCTCCTGCTCTCTCCTGTTTCTAATTCCTCTCAATCCCCTCTTTCTCCTGTTTTTTTCCTTCTGTCCTTCTTCCCTCCTCTCTCTCCTGTCATTCCCTTCTCTCCTCTTTTCCCCCTCTTTCTCCTGTTATTCCCCCTCTCTTTCCTTTCTCCCTCCTCTCTTCTCCCATCATTTCCCCCCTCTCTTCTGCCGTTCCCCTCTCTCCTCCTTTTCTCCTCTCACTCCTGTCATTCCCCCTCTCCTTTTTTCCTCCTCTCTCTCCTGTTGTTCCCCTTCTCTCTCTCCTCTCATGGCATAACAGATCTCTAATTATTCCGCGGCAGGAGCAGCCAAATCCGCTCCAGCGGCGAGCTGCTAAAAATATCCTCCGCACCGTGAGCGTCGCCGCGTCCTGATACCCGGGCTGCTATGTTAGCCATGTGGCTAATTCTGGCGGGGCACCTTCACCTCCTCTTCCGGTGTTCAGCATGGGCACAGGCTGGGTGGGACCTGCCCCCATGATTATTTATCCAGGCTTCAGCTCTTGTGGGATGCTGTGTTTAGCACTGACAGTCTGGGTCAGGAGAATAACGGCCATGAGCGTCCAGATTAGAACCTCACCAGCATGGCCAGCTGTCCTGGTCAGGAGGGGCCCACACGCTGATCCTTTCAGAAAGACGGTCCCTGTCAGAGGGAGGGAGGTGCTGAGGTCACTCCTGGTGACAAAAACTCCAGCAAAGTTGGTATCATTAGTGTTACGATTCCCGGCTAATTTGCTTAAAGGAAAATAGAAATTCAGGTGAAGTTTAAGTCACATAGCTGCTGCAGGTGGCGGCAGACTGAGCCTCGGGGGCAGGATAACGGGTCACTTTGTGCTCCTGTTCACCCTCCCCCCCCCCTCCCCCACACACACACACACGCAGCAACCTGCTGTCCAACCCCTACGTGTGTGACTGTCACCTGGCCTGGCTCGGAGCCTGGCTGAAGAAGACGCGGGTGGTGAGCGGAAACCCTCGCTGCCAGAAACCTGCCTTCCTGAAGGAGATTCCCATCCAGGACGTGGCGGGACCTGACTTCACCTGCGACGGTACGCCTACCACCCCCCATACACACACTGCTCCCTGGGCCCCAGCTGTGTTCACCCCCTGCCAAGACAGGGAGGGGAGATGGGTGGAGCAGGTTGGGTCTGACGTTTAAGGCCATGAGCCTTTAGCTGGTGTTCTGCGGTAGCGGTCTCTAATCTCGACCCAAATGGATTGGATCCACCAGGGTCTCAGACTTGTGCTGAGCAGTCCAGGGTCCATGGGCTCTTCCCTCATGCATATCCCACTCCGTCTGGGCTTTATGGCAAAGGCGGCCGTTTCCTTGGCGACTCCAGAGAAACCGGAATCCTTCAGCTACACATAAATTTTTACTCCGAAAAGGAAATGTGGTTTGGCCTCTGTCTGGACCGCCCTCCTCTGGCCAGGAAAGGAGGCGGTACGATGCGGCATGTGCCCCCTCGGGGCCCGAGGCGTCCCGAGACGGGTGTGTGGTGCTGAAGACGCCCCCCCCGGTGGCCGCGCCCTCAGCACTTACACTATTTATAGATATCTTGAGTTACACCAAAGATGTAGAAAACTGGCAAGGGAAAAAAAAATCACAACAGAAATCTAATTTGGTTTACAGGAAAACAGCTCATACCCCCCAAACACACACGCCCTGGTCCTGCTAGTCCAGACCCAGCCTGTTTTTGTTGGACCGGGCCTCTGACTTCCCATTAAGGCCTTAATGAGCTGTTTCTTTGTGATCTCTGGAGCTCTGGTAGATACCATCTCCAAGGCTGTAGATTAAAGCAGGACGCAGCCAGACAGCACGTGTGCTGGGGGGGTGAGGGGGTGGGGATGTGCTCTCAAGCCAACAACAATATTTAGAACATGATTTTCAACATTTGTATCTTTATTATGATGATTGCTTCCCCCCACCTAATAGGCCTTGATAACTCTGGAAAATCTATCATCCAATTGCAGGGAGGCACTGCTGGGAACGCCAGTGTCCAGGTCCCTGTAGTCATGTGGGTGGTTTGTTAAAATGTTATTAATGCTCCTCGGAGGCCTGGTCTGTGAGGAAACTGTGGCTGATGCATCTTCCTGTCTCTGTCACTGCCACCGCACTGCCCCCTGCAGGTACGGAGGAGAGCAGCTGCCAGCCGGCCCCGCGGTGCCCAGAGTCGTGCGCATGTTCGGACACAGTGGTGCGCTGCGGCAACCGGGCGCTGCGCTCGCTGCCCAAGGGCATTCCCAAGGACGCGACGGAGCTGTGAGCAAGCCGGCTCTGTACACGCGCGTGCACACACACATGCACACGCGCACACACACATGCACACGCGCACACACACATGCACACGCGCACACACACATGCACACGCGCACACAGTCGAGAAAGCTATGGCAGCATCGTCCTGAAATCCCAGCAGCCCCTGGGGCCGCAGAAAGCTGCAAAAACAGGCATGAAATAATTATTGACTGTTAAAGTGAAGTTATAATTAACTCATAAAATATTTCTGACCACCCTCTACTGCTTTTATTAGGAATGGGGGAAGGCGTTGGGGGGAGGTGGGGGGATTTACGGCTGTATGGAGGCAGGAAGGACGGGGAAGGGGAGCCCACTGTTACCAGGACAGGCTGGTGACGCCACTTAAATGCTGGTTTCTTTGGGGAAATAGAGCCAATTTTGTATTTGACGGGAGCATTTGAGCCCTCTGCCGACCCTGTAGGAAAACAGAGTCTCACCTCGCCCCCCCCCCCCGGCCCCTGTGCAATGACTGTCATCCACATCGCTGCTTCCTTAATATTTCATTTGTATTTCTGGCCTCCTCGGGGGAGGTTTGACTTTAAAGAGGCAAAATTATGTCTTGAATTGAATCCTTCTTTCTGTGTTTGTGCTGCAGTCATGTTCTATACACGTGGTACACGTTCCTCCTTAAGAACAAACTGCCATATGCTCAGTGTCAGTGGGCGGGGTTTATGGCTGTCCAGTGGGATTTCATCTGTTTTTTTTTTTTCATGGTGGCATTTATGCCAGCTGTGTGATAAAGCTACTGCAATGCAGCCCAGAGGATGATGGCAAACAGGAACTGAGTGCGTGTGTATGTGTGTGCACTGCCTTTTCAGATACCTGGAAGGGAATCTGTTGACCTCAGTGCCCAAGGAGCTGTCGAGCCTCAAGCATCTGACTCTCATGTAGGTACCAGACACACCGAACAAACAGAATCACCAGACAGTACAGGAAACTTGGGAAACAAGGCTGATCAGGAAGCGGTTTGTCTAGATCTTAAAGCCGTGAATCTGATCAGGAAGCAGTCATCTGGATCTGAAGGCTATGAATGTAATCAGGGAGCAGTTATCTGTATCCAAAAGCAGGGAATATATCAGAAGTGCGGTTATCCAGATTCTACGGCCATCATTCTGATTGGGGAGTTGTCATCAGTTTCCTTAGGCCATGAATCTGATGGCTGATTATCCGGATCCAAATACCACAAGAGTGATTGAGAGGCAGTTAACCGGGCCAGAATACCATGATCGGGAATTGATTTGCCAGATCCAAAGGCCGTATGTATCTAATGATGGGGAGCTGTTATCCCACTCTGACGGCCGTTAAGTGATCAGGACACACTCACGCTGCGGTCACCTGTCAGTGACGTGACTGAAAGCTTCCCATTCTCTCGCAGAGACCTGAGCAACAACAGCATCAGCTCGCTCGCTCCACTGACCTTCAGCAACATGACTCAGCTCTCCACGCTGTAAGTTGCCATGACGACATGGGCCTGCCACCTTGGGTGGGGCGTGAGTGTTTGCTGATGTGTAATGGCCGCCCTCCCCCCCCCCCTTTCCCAGCATCCTCAGCTACAACCAGATCCGCTGCATCCCGGTGCAGGCCTTCGATGGACTGCGCTCCTTACGCCTCCTGTAAGTGCCCCCACCCCACGGGACCTGTGATGAATGAGCCACTCTTCCTCACAGCTTCCCAGCTATCTATCTTCTGGGCCGCGGAACATTCTGGATCTGCTACAGATAAATAAAACGGGGGAGAAACACCCGTTGCGAAGGCCAGTGCTGGGAGGGTGTGCCACTGGGCCAGCCTCCAGACCGGCGCCTTCCCAGTATGCTCTGCAGCGGTGTGGGTCCCTGAGCGGGGGGGCCTTCCACGCTGGAGGTCTGCAGGCAGATGAAAGGCGAGGGAAGGTGCCTGGAGGGCACCCCCCCAGATGTGGATGCAGGCATGGGGCCGGGTGACAATGACAATGCTTGAGTTGGTGACCAATGGGTGTGTGCTTTCTCCCACCCCCTCAGAACCCTCCATGGGAACGACCTTTCGACCATCCCGGAGGGAGCCTTCAACCACTTGACGTCTTTATCCCACTTGTAAGTGTGAAGGGGGGGTGCGTGGGGGGTCTTTGCATTAATGCCGGCGCCGTCGGGCTCGGAGACAGCGGCCGCTCTGATGTGCCGAGGTTTAAGGAGTTTTACTGTATATCAAACCTGAAAGTCTCATTACCCGTAAAAAGCATTTATGACATGGGAATGTCGCCGCTTTCCCTTGTCCAGCTTGAGCACAGTGCCCCCACTGTTCCAAATTGCAGGGACAGTCACAATGACTCCTGTTGATCCTCCTGATAGGAGAATAGGGATTTTATGTGTGAGCCACGTAGCGGCATGGTGGGAGGTGTTGGGCTGTGTGTGTGTTCGCGTGTGACCGCGGTCCCTCCCGTCCTGCAGGGCCCTGGGCGCGAACCCGCTGTACTGTAACTGTGACCTGCGCTGGCTCTCCCAGTGGGTCAAGGCGGGCTTCAAGGAGCCAGGCATCGCCCGCTGCACCGGGCCCCCCGACATGGCCGACCGCCTTCTGCTCACCACCCCCCTCAACCGCTTCCAGTGCAAAGGTGTGTTGCCGGGGTGTGGGGGAGTGGGCTGGGGTGCATGGGGGCTCGCCAGGATGTGGGACAGTTGGCCAGGATGCAGGGAAGCCAGTGGGGATGCAGGAGAGTGGGCTATGATGTGGGAGGCTGAGATACGGGGGAGTGGGTGTGTCTGCGGGGATGTGGGGGAGCCAGGAAAGACCGGGATGCAGGAGGGCTGGTATGTAGGACACAAGGCAGTCGGCAGGGATGTGGGGGAATCGGTGGTATGTGGGAGGGCTGGCTGAGATGCAAGGAAGCCATCCGGGTTCTGAGGGAGCTATAGGGATGTAGCGGGATGTGGGGGAGTCGGTGGGATGTGGGGGAGCCGGGCAGGATGTGAGAGAGTCGGATGGGATTTTGGGGAGCCGGCTGAGATGCGGGTGAGTCAGTGGGATGTGGGGGACCCAGCCGGGATGTGTGGGAGTCAACGGGATGTGGGGATGTGGAGGACCTGGCCGGGATATGAGTGAATCAATGGGATGCACTGACATTATCTACTTTTCCTTCTCTCTAACTCTCTGTTTAACTGTCTCGTTCCTTCTCCCTCTCTCATTCTTTCATTCTCTCTTCCTCTCCCTACATCTTCGTCTCTCGCTCTCACCATCATCTACCCCCTCCCAGGCCCCGTGGATTTGAACCTGATGTCCAAGTGCTCCCCCTGCCTGGCCTTGCCCTGTCAGCACAATGGCACCTGTGTGGGCGACCCCTCAGGCTCATACCAGTGCACCTGCCCCTTCGGATACAAGGTGAGCCACGCCACTGGCCTCCCTGAGGACCATGGTGTCCGGAGAGCCCATCTCCTTTCTGATTGGGGAAACTCCATGCAGCTTTGGATTGGAATGAAGCTCCAACCCTAATAAATGGTCTTAGATGAAGGCAGTGGGCTGGTAGCAGTTGACAGGTCTACTTTCATACTTCCGATCATTCAGCTCTCCATAAGCAATGAGACAGGAAGCCAGCTGTTTTACGGGGGGATCATTTCCGTGACAACTCCCCGCCAAACTCGCCCCAAAGCAGGAAAAGTACGGAGCTGGCGTCATTGAACAGGAGCGGCAGTCCATTTAAACAGCACTCACTTGACCTCTGACCCCAGCCCATCATCTGGGTGTGGGGTTACTGTCAGCAGCTCCGCGGATATGAGCCAGGGCTTAACCTCTGGCCTGCTGGAGACACTGGAGCTGTGAGCACCCTTTTTAATTAGACTAAGCCCTCGTTTGGGGGGGTTGACTTTGAGAATGTGGTGAAAAAAAACCAACATAGAGAGTAATTTTTAAAAAACAGCAAAGATCCTTTGTACTTAAAAGTGCCAAAACTTTCCATTTGTTATTCTTTTTGATCCACTTTTCAGTTCTGTGGAATGGGGTTAGTGTCCTTAAAAAGTGTCAAAGTGAGAGTCAGTGTGTGTGTGTGTGTGAGTGAGCATGTATATTTTACATTGTGGGAACCAAATGTACCACCTTTTCAGTTCCCACAAGGAGAAACTGAATTCTATAAAAATCTATGCAGTCAAAAAACAAAAAATTTCCAAAAGTGTTACATTTTGTTTGGTTACTTTTGGTTGAGGGTAGCGCTGGGTTGGAGTTAAGGTTGTCGTTGCTGGGATTAGGGTTTTTTCTATAGAAATTAATGGAGAGTCCCCACAAACGTGTGTGTGTGTGTGTGTGTGCGTGTGTGCCCTTCATAGCCAGCAGTGACCCCAGACTTATTAAAATGTGTGAAAAGGGTTTGATCTGTAGAGGGTGCAGGGAGAACTCTGATCACAGGACATAAATGTAGCCAAAGTCATGCTAGACAACCAATCTCAAGTCACCTAGCAACAGGCCCTGAGTGTGACAGTAATACAGTTTGACAGCAGTGACTTGAAGGAAGCAGAGGTGTCGATACAGATAGTGGCGTGTGATGTGAAGAGACGCTGGTACAGATGGTTATTCTAAAGCCCCACCCACCCATTCTGCCCCACCACCCCCCACTTCACAGGGCCGTAACTGTGAGGTAGCCATCAATGCCTGCATCAGCTTCCCCTGCCTCAGTGGCGGGACCTGCCACGTGATGCCAGGCCAGGAGGACCAGTTCAGGTAGGACCATCGACAAACTCTTACATTTATGAGATGACCAGTTTTTCTGTGCCCTTACCTCCAATTACATTCATCCTCTTCCTCCCAGTTGCATCAGCCTGGGCTGGGTGTTGCTTCATTTCCCTGAGACCCAGCTGTCCCATAGGCAGTGAGAGTACCGCAGTTTCCCGTCACACCCTTCCCTCTCTCTCACTCTCCCTCCGTGCAGCTGCGTGTGCCCGCCTGGGTTCGAGGGCCAACGCTGTGAGATCAATCCCGACGACTGCGAGGACAATGACTGCGAGAACAACTCCACCTGCGTGGATGGCATCGACAACTACACCTGCGTCTGCCCCCCCAACTATGCAGGTAGGGCCTAAGTCGGGGGCCACATGGGGTTCGAGGACCAGTGCAGACAGCACCAGCCAGCTTGTGGTGCGGATTCAATGGACCACTGTGACCCTGAGGATGGGCGGGGCTCTGGCAGCCCATTTTGGCAGTAATTACAGGACTTGGTGTTGCTGGGGGGTATGGAGCTTGACACAAACGTTTACTGGGCACTTTTTATGTTTAAAGAACCGTCCCGAAACGGACTCTGGCTTTTGTCCCGCTGTCACAGCTGCCTCGTAGGGCCTCCTGTTGCTGCCGGATACATACCCTGTTATTAGTTACATTGAGACAGGGAGTCTGCCTGGGCACTGGGAGGAGCCCTAGTTGATGATGTCACATCTAGGGCTAGAGTCTGACCAGCAGGGGGTGGAGTCATAGGGGCAGGGTCTGAGCCAAGGGGGCGGGGCCCAGTGGCCACTGAGCAATGTAGGGTGTTAATTACTTGGTAATTCAAAGACAGAGAAGCCAGACGATACCTCTGCGTTTTGTGTGAAATGTGTCATAATTCCAGCTGGATCATCACTGAGTGACAGACTGGTTATGTTACGGTCAGCAGCTGTCAAGTTAGGGCCGGCTGTTCTCTTTGGGGTTCATGTCGCTTGTAGGCCCTTGCAGTCCGTTGCTAAGGAGCAACAGGATCAGGGTAACATGCACACCTTTCACCAGAAGGTAACCTAATTATAATGCAATGGTAACCATGGTGCTGGTAATGGACACGAAAGGTAAAGCGATGACGTGTGGGACTGTAACGTTTGTATAGTGTGCAGAGGGATGCATCACGCTCTTCTGAAGCTCCATGAGACAGATTTAAGGAAACATTCCTTATGTGGAGAAACTCAAAACTGAACTTAAGTGTGATGTACGACCTTTGCTGAGTCATATTAATCATGAATGAATCGGCGTGACATCTGGGATTTGAAAAGTATTTCTCCAATCCCCCACCCCTGCGCACTTTGTCAGGAGTCAGAGGAGAAGTCGGTTCGGTCTTTCTGAAACAATCAGCACCCCCACGTCTCACTGTGTGCGTGTCCCTGCAGGTGACCTGTGTGATGAGGTCATCGATCATTGTGCCCCCGGTTTTGACCCCTGTCAGCACGACGCCAAATGCAGCACCCTAGCCAAAGGCTACAGGTCAGTGCTCCCAGCCTCCCGCCGGGGTGTCCGCGGGGCTTTGCCGTGTCACCAGCCAGCAGCTGAGGCTCTGCACGTGTCCCCTAGGTGTGAGTGTCCCCCGGGCTACGTGGGTCAGAACTGCGAGCAGGACTACAACGACTGCCTGGAGAACAAGTGCCAGCACGGGGCGCAGTGTGTCGACGCCGTCAACGGCTACACCTGCATCTGTAAGGAGGACTTCAGGTGGGTACGGCCACCCCCCCATGGCCCTCCGCTCTGTGTTTAGGGCCCTGTAGGAAGAGACACAGATTTCTCAGTCCGAAAACAGTGAGGCCTCTGGCAGAGCAGTGTGCAGTGAGGCCCCTGGCAAAGCAGTGTGCAGTGAGGCCCCTGGCAAAGCAGTGTGCAGTGAGGCCCCTGGCAGAGCAGTGTGCAGTGAGGCCCCTGGCAGAGCGCCAACGCACAGGAGAACCAGGGGCAGATCCCAACAGAAGCAGGGTTGTCCTTCTGTGACAGCCCCCCCCCCCACAACACACACACACACACACACACACATACATACACAAGGCGCCGGAGGCGGCCCAAGGAAGTCATGCAGGAAAAGAATGCAATTCTTTATTGGTAAGTGTGTGAGACAGGCGGCAGGATGGGGGGGCCCTGGGCGGAGGTGCTGAGTGAGGGCTGGGGGTGGAGCTGGGGGGGTGCTCACCTTGTGACCCTGGCAGAAATGCGATCACAGCGCCGTTCTCTGAGCTCTCACATGGCCACCCGCCCTCCACATGCACCAGTGCCATGTGCCATACCGGTTGAGGCCTCGAAATCTGCATCACAAAGGCATCAAAGCACAGTCTGGCTTTAGGAGCACGTTCCACAGTGACCCAAACAGTGAATTAGGGTTTCATAAGTTGCAGTGCTGGAAGGCAAAGGCTAACGCTAATGCTAACCCTGAGCGCTCATTCTGTTTGTCCCCAGCGGGCTGTTCTGTGAGGTCCCACCTCCCATGATCCTCCTGCAGACCAGCCCATGTGACCAATTAGACTGCCAGAATGGGGCGCCGTGCCTGCTGGTTGCTGAGGAGCCCCTGTGCCGCTGCCTGCCCGGATTCTTCGGCAGCAAGTGTCGCAAGATGGCCGCCGTGCACTTCCTGGGCAAGGACGCCTACGTGGAGCTGCCGGGTGCCAAGCCCCGCCCTACTGCTCAGATCTCGCTCCAGGTAGTGCCCCGCCCCCACACGAAGTGCAAACAGGAAGAGGGGAGACAGCAAGGGGGCAGGGCACATGGGCACAAGTCTGCAGTCACATGGCCTGACATTATTAGAATGTCACCTTTTGTCCCACTGGAACAAGCAGTCCATCCACAGGGACACTCGTTATGCTAATGAAGTGTGGCGCGAGTCATTATCACTACAGCCACTTAGAAATGACTCGAGATGATCTCTTTTGCACCGATATCTCATTAATTTAAGGCAGAGGGTGTTAAGAATAACTGGCAGCTGGCTTAGCCACAATCCAAAGCCACTGGTGGCCTGTCTGTCTCGGTTTAGGCGAGAACTGCGCCCCCACTGGCAGCGCTGGGGGATGCGAAGTCAACTGTCACCTTCAAATTCTCCAGGGAAAGTCTCTGAGTCATTTCTTACTGCCACCGAGAGTGGCTTTAACCTGGTGGCTGTGGGGCAGACCCATCCAGGGCTGACACCTTGATAGAGCCCCTCTCATCGGCGGCCCCAGTCATTTAAAAGCCTTTATTTTCAGTGCCATGGCCCCACTGCATGTGACCAGCCTAGTGGAGAGCCACCGTCATTGCACGCTTTGTTGGTGCCCTGCGTGAGTCCAGGACCCGCAGACAGGCACACTCTGAACGCTGCCCCCACCCTCTCACAGGTCGTCACGGACACAGACAACGCGATCCTGCTGTACAAAGCGGACCAGGACCCTCTGGCTCTGGAGCTGTACCAGGGCCACGTGCGCCTCGTGTACTACATCTCTGGCTATCCGCCCACAACTGTGTACAGGTCAGTACACACACACTTTTCCTAGCGTGCTGTACTTATATCCCAAAATGCCTGATAGGTACAATATGGGCCTCCTATCCATCCTCCTATGTTGGAGTCACTGTTTATGTCAGAAGCTCACGTCTTGCCTGTCTTACGCTGGACATAAGGTGAACTGCTGATGTGTTTAAACTCTGCTGCTGGCTCTTCCCTTGTTTCTCTGTAATTCAGTCTGGCTTGGCTCATTTGACATCACGCCGCAGGCCTTTTGGCAGGGCGCGGTCCCATCGCGGCCGTGGGGTGGTGGTGGGGGGGGGGGGGGGGGGGCAGGGGCTGTCCTGCTGCGTTATGCTGATGAAGGTCATGGAGGAGTTAGCTGTTAGCGCTCAGTTAGAGGTTAGCATGGAGTTAGCAGTTAGCACTCAATCAGAGGTTAGCCTGGAGTTAGCACTTAGCGCTCAGTCAGAGGTTAGCCTGGAGTTAGCACTTAGCGCTCAGTCAGAGGTTAGCCTGGAGTTAGTAGTTAGCGCTCAGTTAGAGGTCAGCCTGGAGTTAGCAGTTCGTGCAGAGTTTGTGTATAGTGCTGATTCTGGCAGAGGAAGAGCAGGCCTCTTGCTGCCTTTTGCAGCTCTACAATTGCATTTGATTTGAGACCCCGCTGTGTACCACCTATTAGCCTTCAAGGTAGAGCCCAGAGGCCTCCTCTGGGTGCTCCTTCAGGCTTGGAAAGAAGCAGGAAAAGCTGTAAGGAGCAGATCCTGCATCCCAGGAAGTGGGGAGGGGGGGGCTGTTTTCACTGCAACTGTAGCACAACCACCCAGCACCTGGAGGGGTTCTTCAGGAGGTACAGTGGCAGGGCAAAAGAACAAGGACAGACCGGTCTCTGTGAGGGAGGCCGGTGTCCTTACAGGTGCAGGCTGGGAAGGAGGGCAATCTGGGGCCAGTGGGTCATGGGGGTCTCATCAAAGACGCATGATTAAGGCGAGATGAACCCCCACCTGCACGGGCCTTGTGGGACCGTGGCCCTTCCCCAAAATGTCACTCGGAGTCCTTTATTAGTTTAAGGAACAACGTTGGCAGCAGGCCAGAGGAACAGGAGGCCGGCGGTCAGTACCCACACCCTCCCAAAACTGATCGTGAAACAACCTCCCCCCTTCCGAAACGTGGGTCAGCACCATGGGGTCTGAAATGCTGGCAGCTGAGCTAAATTATTAAGGGAGGCAGGGAGCCCATGTCAGACCGCACTGTCAGAGGCGCCGCCTTAAAGAGGAGCTCCACCTTAAATAGGGGCTCCGTCTTAGAGCCGGGCACAAAGACCTGGCAGCGTAAACAGCCGCCAGCTCGTGCGGATCAAAGTGACAATTTACAGGCCCACTGCCACCCCAGCCGGACGTGGCCAAAGTCTCAGCACACGCAAAAGGAGAATGGCTGCGGTGGTGGAGTTTAGCTCCGACCTCCAGGTCTCACGCTGCCTTGGGATCCCCATGCACTGTGATATCCAGGGATACTCCCGTACCTCACTGCGCCCCCAGGCTCCAGGACGTCCCGCTAGCCCCAGACACCACAGAGAGGGCCACTCTCTTCTGAGCGCACTGGAGTTACGGATGCTTTTGGTCACGGCGCTGCCCGTCTCCAGCCACTCTGGCAGGGCCGCCTGGAAAGAGCGTGATGGTGTTCCACGATAGTGCCGGGTAATTGGGTTCAGAAATGTAAACATGTCCGCGGGGTTGCTGCTGCAGATAGGTCCAGCAGATAAAGGCGCCGGTAATTGTTCTGAAGTTTGTGTATGTGTCATTTACAGCGTGGTTTTCACTCCCCACTAAGGGGAAATTGCCTTCCGCCAGAGTGAGGGGACCTGAGGCCGCCAAGACCTTCAACGGCTTTGTGTTTATTTTTGTTGAATTCCATAATGGACCACTTTAAAGATCAAAGACACCACCCCTCCCCCACCCACCAAAAAATATATCTTGGCCTGTAGAAACTTCCCGCCTGTCAAAATATAGACAAAGCCCAGTATTGGCAGGATGTCCAGTTGTTGGGAAAGACACTGTCATGTTGGCCTGGACATCTGCTGCCCTCTAGTGGTGAGACGACGAGCTATGCAGCACTTTGGTCCCTGTACCCCCACCCTGAACTCATGGGGAGTGTTAGCATCACAGAGTAAAGTCTGGCTCCACCTTCTTTTCCGCTTAGAGACACCATATCTCATTTTGAAGCACACTGCCCTCAACTTTCAGGATTTGATTTACACTAAAAAGCAGCTTTCAAACCCAGAGACACTATTTACCAGAGGTTGAAATTTTAGGTCCAGAAAGTACAAATCCAACCAAGATTTTGTTTCAACCAACCAGTTGAGTACTCTGTGACTCTGACTCATTATGCTCAACTGGTTGGTTGAAAGTAAATCATGGTCTGGATTTTTAATTTCTGGACCTGAAATTGCCACCTCTGCTATTTACACATTGCAAGAAGAAGCCTGCCCAGACGGACCCTCGTCCTGGCTGCAGAACCCCGCCTCGGCATCGGGATAGAGTTGCAGACACTGTAATGCGAACCACGCTTTCATCTGCTCTGTGTCTTTGTTTAGCTTGAGCCTTTATAAACTGTGGGCAGGAGCTAGATTGTTTATCTACAAACAGAAAAGGGCCAACTTCCTCCCTGTGACCAAACGTGGAGCTTTTCTGTGTACGAACAACGTTTTCGGGGTTTTAGATTCACAGCAGTGGAAATCTCTATTTATACTCCCGGCTTGTTTGTGTCTTCTGTGTCAGTGATCTGAGCTCAGTTACACCCATAGTATGGCAGTGATGTTGTTACAGTGCCATCTGCTGGCCATGCTGGTTAAGTTCAGTTTCAGCAGTGGAGCTGAGAGCTCACACAGTGTGTGAGGATGCTGAGTGTGTGATTTGAGACTCGCCAGTTCAAATCCAGGGTCAGCAGAGTGATTTCACCATTGGGCCCGTGAGCAAGGCCCTTAATCCCCTATTGCTCTAACAGGAATATGTACATTGCTCTGGATAAAAGTGCCTGCGAAATAAATAAAATTGTAAATGGTTGCCAAATGTCCATGTATTTACCGTTTAATGGGTCCTGCACTGTGGGTCAAGGCAGAGTGATGTTACGGGGGGGGAGGGGCTTGAAGAGGGCAGATGGGCTTATTTTCTGTGGCTGTGTTAGACAGCTGGGGTCCCCTGTGTCTCACCACCTACTGGCAGCTGAGTGCCTTGCAGGACTGGGTGTGAAACTGTGTAAAGTGTTTTTCTCTACCAGTGTCACATCACTCACATCATGGTTCCAAATTCTGAGACCAGCTTTTTTTGGAAATGGAACTGAGGTAACACAGGAAACGCAGACTACAATGGGGAGGAGGGCAAATCAAAGGGGGTGTGAAATCCATACCCAGCTGGCTTGCCCATCTTCTGCTGGGGAGGCTTAGGGAAATGGGATAATTGGCCATGTGTGTAAAAGCAGCATGTGTCAGTTAGTGAGCATGTGACATTGTATGTGTGGTGTGTAAGTCCTGGGCTCTAGCCACGCCATAGTCAGGGCTGCTCTAATGCACAGGCTTACCCACCCTGAAGCCCAGAGGCCTCCCCTAAAAAGAGGCCTCAACTAGCCTTCCATCCATCTACCCATCAACCCCACAATGACACGAGGAGATCATGTAAACTCCACACATGTAACACAGGTGGAGGCTCGAACCCAAGTTCCAGAGGTATGAGGCACCACTCTGCCACTGTACCACCCCATCAACTAACCTTGTTTAATAAAATTTTAATCCCCCCTCCCAGCAGTTGACAACTACATCATCATAGAAGACAGGGGGCCTCTGACAACTGAAGTAGCCCAGGAGCCCCTGACCATGTTAGCATGCCTCTGTCCGCGGGGCTTTAGCATGCTTCTGTCCACGGGACTTTAGCATGCCTCTGTCTGCAGGGCTTTAGCATGCCTCTGTCTGCAGGGCTTTAGCATGCCTCTGTTGTCTGCGGGGCTTTAGCATGCCTCTGTCTGCAGGGCTTTAGCATGCCTCTGTCCGCAGGGCTTTAGCATGCTTCTGTTGTCCACGGGACTTTAGCATGCCTCTGTTGACCTCAGGGATTTAGCATGCCTCTGTCCACGGGGCTTTAGCATGCCTCTGTCTACGGGACTTTGTTTCAGGAGCCAGATCAACCTGATTGGTCTCATTGTTCTTTGTATTGAACGTAAAGCTGTCATGCAGGGAGCAGGGGCAGGGAGATGCTAGGGTTAGGGTACCTTCTGGGGTCCTAAGTGAAGTTTGAGATCCTGAGCCCTCTCCCCCTGTGCTCCCCAGATCACTGGAGGGGTATAATGTTGATATTGATGTTGTATAAGATGAATTTAGCATGAGTGGCTCCACAAAAAGAGGAACAAGACAGGAAGTCAAGAAGCTGCATTATCTGTATGTTTATATGATAAATAATCTCTCTTTCTTTTTGTCTATCTTTCCCTCTCTCCCCATCTATCTTTGTCATTCCTGCCTGTCTTTCCCTCTCTGTCTTTCCTTTGTTCTCTTTCACTCTCACTCTTCCCCTCTCTTTTTCTTCTCTTTCCCTGTTTCTCTTCTCTTTTCCCTTTTTCTGTCTTTTTTTCTGTCTTTTTCTCTCTTTCAATCTTTTTCTGCCTTTCCTGCTCTGCTCTCTTTCCCTCTCTTTTTCACTGTGTCTTGTCATCTCATTCCCACTCTTTTCCTCTGTCTTTTTATCTCTCCCTCTGTCTTTCCCATTATTTCTCTGTTCCTGTGTTTTTGTCTCTCTCTCTTTTCCTTTTCCCTGCTTCCCTCCCTTTCCCTCTTTTCATGTCTTTTCATTTATCTTTTCCTCTCTTTTCCTCTGTCCTTTCATCCCTCTTTCCCCCCTTCCCACTATTTTTCCCCTCTGTGTGTCTCTCTTTTCCTCTGCCTTTTTGTCTCTCTGTCACTCCCTTTCCCGCTCTCTCTCTTTCCCTCTGTGTCTTTTCATGTCTTTTCCTCCTTCCCACTTTTTCCCGCTCTGTTGTTCAGTGACGAGACCGTAAACGACAGCCTCCTCCATACAGTCGAGCTTCTCATGCAGAACCACACCTTAGTTCTGGTGGTGGACAACGGCGCCCCCAAGAGCCTGGGAAAGCTGTCGCGACAGCCCTCAATCGACCACAACACGCACCTGTATGTCGGAGGTGAGATCTGAATGTGTATGTGCGCACACACACACTGCTCGTTTCTTCAACAGTAATCTTAATGTTTCGCACAGAGTGTGTTGCACCTTTACAGTTACCCTGTAAAATGCACCCCCCCCAGCCCGTCACTGACTTGCTAAATTTGTGTGTCTCCCCCAGGTGCGCCACCTATGGTGGGGGCTCCAGCTCTGCGGCAAAGCGGCTCCCACGCCTTCAGAGGCTGCATCCTGGATGTAAGAGTGAATGGCGAGCTGCAGGACCTGGGCGCCGGCCGCCGGGGGAGGCAGGATGTGCAGTCAGGCTGCCACTTATGCAGCGTGTGCGGGCATGGGACCTGCCATCAGCGGGGAGACACCGGGGTGACCTGCGAGTGCCCGGCTGGCCGTGGCGGACTCCTCTGCGACCACAATAATGAGCCCAGTCCCTGTCTGGCCAGCAGGTAGCACGCCGGTAATCAGGGACAGTTAATAGCAGCATCTGTAACACAACTAAAAATAATGTCAGGCTGTTATGCTAACTCTTAGATATTATTAGGCTGTGCTCGCTAACTGCGTACAGCAGCATACTTCCTCCTCCGTCTCTCATCCCACTGTCTCTTTTACTCACACTCTCACTCTACCTACTCTGTCTCTCTCTCTAGGCACTGTCTTTTTGTACTCTGACTCTCTCACTTTACCCATTGTCTGTCTCTCTACTCACTCTCTCTCTACTCACTGTCTTTATGTCTCTCTTGACCCATTTTCTGTCTCATCCTCTTCCCCATTCTCTCTACTCACTGTCTTTGTCTCTCTTTACACAATGTCTGTCTCTCTTTACCCATTGTCTGTCTCTCTACTCACTCTCTCTCTATGCAGTCTGTCTTTCTTGCCTCTCTTTACCCATTGTCTGATTTATCCTCTTCCCCATTGTCTCTCTACTCATTGTCTTTATCTCTCTTTACACAATGTCTCTCTCTTTACCCATTGTCTGTCTCTCAATCTACTCACTGCCTTTCTTTGCATACTATCCTTTTCTCTTTACTTACCTTCTTTCTCTGATTCCCCCACTCCAGGTGTGTGCACGGCACCTGTGTGCCCAAAGGCTCCTCCTATAGCTGCAAATGCTCCGAGGGCTACTCCGGCCAATACTGCGACCGCAGGGAGGAGCCTGCAGCCTGTAGGGGGCGCCAGTGTGGGCATGGCGAGTGTCAGCTAACGGATGGTGGTGAGCCAACGTGCCGCTGTCAGTCGGGCTACACGGGCCCCACCTGCGAGACGGGTGAGTTTTTGCTGAGGATTCACAGCATCACTGTGTTGGCAGGCGTGCACGCTCACGCCCACGGTCGACCTGAACAAGCTGCCAGTTGCTGACAGATATTAAGGATGCATAACTCATTTCCTGGATGGCATCCCTGGAGGGCCTGGTTTTGTACCTTTGGGCAAGGTACTTAATTGCACCAGTAAACAAACTGAATCAATGACTACAAACCTTGAGCTGTTCAAATGAATGTGGCCAATGGGGATTCTCCCACAACTGAGCCTAGTTTATTATAACCAATTAACCAACAGTAAATGTTTCATATAGTTATGTCTAGGGGTTTAGGGCAAATGCAGTGCTTAATTTTAGGATTACAGGGTTCATAAGTGAAACTTTGGGCATCTGCAGGGATCACATATCCACCAGACATGACTCCCTCCACCCTACTCCCCCTTCAGAGCTGGCCTGTCAGGGTGAGATGTTCCGTGACGTGCTGAAGCGACACATGGGCCACAAGACCTGCACCTCCACCAGCAAGGTTCCCCGCGTGGAATGCTCCCGGGCCTGCCAGGGTGGGCTGTGCTGCGCCCCCGTCAAGATCCGCCGGCGGAAAGTGGTCTTCAAATGCAGCGACGGGTCCTCGTTCTCTGAGGAGCTGGAATCCCCTGTGGAATGCGGCTGCACAAAGTGCCTGTTGTAAACCCCCAGGGGGCACAGAAAGGACATGGCGTGAGGGCCAAAGAAATATATTGTAAAATAAAACAAATAGAACTTATTTTTATTAAGGGATTTTTAAGAGACTTGTTTTTTAAAAAAAAATATGTGGGGTATATGTGTCATGAGGCTTTATTACATACCGTAAATAAATAAACCAACAAAACAGATTAGCATTTCTGAAATTATATAAATTTATATGTGTGTGTGTGTATGTGTATAAATCTATATAAATGTGTAACCTAACCTGAGGATCGGACCTGCTCTGTACTGCATGTCTTTGTGAGTGTTGGAAAAGAAGCTTTGGGACACTGAGGTGCAAGTGAGGAGTTTCGTTCCGCTGAAAGAGGAGGGATCTGAGGGGGCAGGAAGTGCCCTCCCCCCCACAAGACTATCAAGACAGTCAAGCTCTCACCCTCAGTGTTGGAAGCAAAATAAGAAAAAAAAAATGAACTGGACCACATTTTAGCAAAGTTTATAATGGACCTCAGACTTACAGGGCCACTTATTGGTCTGGACTCTCTCCTCAGAAGCTGAGAAATGTGATTTTTTTTTTTATGGGGAGGTGCACGTCTCCGGAGCACATACCCAGACATCGTCTTCCTCCTGGTCTTCCTCCGAACCCCCGGTAAATGCCCCCCACTGTTCCCCTGTGAGCCCCTCAGCAGCTGCCCCACGCATCCTACGGGGGAGGGCAGAATGTGAACTTCAATCTCTGAATGACGGGTGAAGTGTTTGTGCCGTGGGGGTCCTGAGGACGGCAGCTGCCCCCCACCCCCCAATTGCTCACGTTTTTGATGGTTAGGATGTGGTACTGCTGTTTGACAGTTCAGTGTTGGTTCGTACCATTCTTGTCCCTCACTATGTTAACTATTAAACAAGCATATGAAGCCTGTTACTACTGTAATGTTTACCTTATACCTGTTCCTTATATATTTTCCACAGGAAGTGCGGTCAGTGTGCCCTACGCCCATGAGATGTTAGTTACTTAAGTAGTGTGAATGTTCTCAGAAGACCTCCTAATCACAGTACTGGGCCTCGGGCCCAACACGGCTCTGGACTCAAGAACAATCTACATAGTTAATGAGCTTCCTAATGGCTTGAAGATACTTTATATTAAAACTTTTAATGTCTATTATGGTGTGACTAATAAAAGTTCTGTCTTCCAGACATAGATATTTTCTGGTAAAATATGAAAACGAGTGTTGTGTACTTATACTAAATGTTGAATTAAATCCTATTGGAATTGAATAATTTGTCATCTTACTGTGTTGGTGCTGAAATGTGCTACATTAAATGTCAAGGGCACAGGGTATAAAATGATTGGGATTTTTATAATTTGTTTATGCATATTTGAGTTCCATGGAAGAGAAGAAAGCTGTGTTTGATAGGCTCATTCAGACTTCCTCCTGTTTTTGAACACACTGTGTATCAGTAATGTGGCTGGAACCTATTGTTTTACATAATTACACAACTACTTCATACATACACTATTGCAGGAATACTGCATAACCAAAGATGCAGGTAAGTAAAATGACGTGTGTGCCCTATAGTGGATAAGCATCTCATCCAGGGGGTTCTACTTTGTACCTTGTGTTTCTTAGGATAAAGTCCAAGCCCCCCGCCCGTAATCGTAAACTCAGTATGTGGTTGGAAGTTAGATAGAGTCTAACCTTAGTCTTAAGGTATCTCCGCGTATTAGAAACAGAACCCAGATTCTCGAGTTAAAATGAGCCCCGTCCAAAAATACATTTTCCGGCGAATCCTCATTAAAACAAACGCCAGTTGCGCTTGTAAACAACTTCTTATGGTAATTCCATCTACTGTATCAGTCCGTCACGAGCGTCCCGTCCAGTCAACTGTCCGACGTGCGCACGCTGGTCAGCAGTGCCCTTGCACACACTGACCCATTAGGTGAGTGAGTTGTTTGTGCCTGCATTTTATATTTTGCCTATATTTACTTTGCCTTTACTTACCATCCATCACAGTGCTTATTTGTAGACGAACACCAGGTGGCCCGGGTTATTATTAGAGTTCTGTTTTCGCCTCAGCTGCACGCTACGCTCGGTGAGGCGGTTTGAACGTAAACTTTTCCCCAGACGTGTGTATAACTAAGTGCGTCTCCCCTCCGCATAGTGTAGGTACTCCAGTAATACCTTATAATCAGGGTTTGGAGTACAGCTCCGCCTCCTATGTCCAAATCGCACCTTGCCGGAGCGCAGTTCCGCTTCCTTCAGTATTAACCTTGTTTTCTTTATGTCCCAAAATTTAGTGAAAAAAATTTCAAAGTGAACGATTTAATAAAAGGTCAGTTTTGCGCTAAAGGAATTTTTTTCATCAGCTTTAATGTTAATTTTCATTATTCGCTCTGATGTATCAAGTGGATGAGATATTCCTACATAAAGCCTTGATTTCTGTTCCATGTTTAATTGGTTTTATATTTTGACTTATTTCCCTTACCGCACTGCTGCCAAAACTTATACATATAGGCTACTAGCTAGAATCTGCTTGAGGTAAGACCTGTGTAAGAAGCAATCCGCGAATCACGTGATATTTTGATATCCATTCTCACGAGAACGTTAAGAATGATAAGCAAGAATATTAATAGTGATAATCTGTTTTGATGCTGTTTGAAGTGTCATTTACAGGTTACGTTTTTTAAAATCAATGGGTTTAACCACGCGGTATTCGCAATAATCAAATCGAATAAAAATAAGTCTTTGATCACATTTTCAGTCTGTTTTGCTTTGCTAGAGAAGGACGACACAAGGCCGCTTGTGGAAACACAAATTGCCTGCAACTGAACATGATGCATCTTTAAGATTGTGATCATAAATACATGATAACAAATTAATGTGCAGGACTCGTTCATGATCCAACAGGGCTCCCGCTCCTCGCTGATTTTGATTTAACCCCTGCTCATTACACCTTTTCGACTGTTTTCAAATGTACTACCAAGCATAATAAAATACCCAACCGAATGCAGTCGTGTTTGATATGATAACAAAGGTCTGGCGCTATTAGAAAGCAGGCGCGTTTCTTCAGGTCAGGCGCCTCTCTAACCACTAGATGGCGCAATGGCATAGGCTCACCGTGGCTGGTCACCTTACTTGATCGTGTGTTTGGCATCCCATCGTGAATAGGGCAAGTTCTGTCTTTAAAGATAAAGCAGAGGACAGTTGGATATCTCACAGTTATGTAACACAAAAATTAAACCCAGTCTCTGGATGTCAGGGATAATTACGCTCTTGGAAATTCGGGATAGACCAGTTAAATCTTTTCTCTGGAGTATACTGCCAAACACTTTTTAAATGGATATCCCCATTCATTTAAATACAAAGATAACAATTAAAACAAAGAGAGAAGATTAAACGTACGGCGGTGGCATTGCCTCTTTGATGACAGACGTTCTGGGATTTTCCTGAAACTGTGACCAGTACCTCACCATGACGCATGGAAAGGTCACACCGGCAGAATTATACTTTTCGTCAGAGATAAGATGTGAAATAAAAAAGGGATTATGGATGCAGGGTTAGAAAATAACCTTGGATTAATGAAGAATAATATCCGGCTCAGAAGATGGACTCATAATCACCACAGACCTGATAGGCCAGATAGTTTGAGAAAGCGGCGTATCAGGGCGGACGTGATTATGTAAGCAGGGACCCGCGCCGCTCGCGCACTCTGTGGCCGCATGCATCGCCCCGCACCTCTCTGCACATTTTCCTTTTAAAACATTCTCCCCTCCTGGGGGCTGCGTTCAGGATCTCGTGACTTGTCTTACCTCCGGAATACCTACGCATTATGTGTACTTAAAATGAAATCAGGGAGGAGTTTCCATGACACTCAACGGATAGTAATTATTTGACAGATTTGACGTGTTTTGGGCGGTTTTCAGTATAATAACTTCTGCCACGTCTTTGAAGGGGTATGGCAGTAATTCTGTCCAGGCTGAGGGGCAGCTTGTGCCCGATTTCCCACTTCAGCCCTCATTTCTTGGGTATTAAGACATTTTTACCTGTAATATAAGGTCCCACAGATCAGGGAATTTCACGTACTAATCCTACAAAATAGTTCCCACCTTTTCTAGGCTAATTTTCCTTCTTGCATCTTTGGTCCCACTGAATGCCATGTGAATAATGAGGGACAGCTCAGTTCAGAGTGAATAATAACACATAACTATGACTTCCTGCACTTGTTTCGTGGGTAATGATTCCTTTTGGAAAGCATTTCCGTTAATATTTCTCTGTCCTGCTCACTTCATTTATTTTTATCGCTGGCGCCCCAAACGACTGCCAGGGGTCCCGTCCACCTGTCACCAGGGCCTGGTCTGGTTCCGGCCCCCACCCCATGGTCGTCATGCACCAGACGCAGTAAATGTGCGGTTTGGCACCGCAGACGCGTGTCAGAAAATCCAAACGACGAGCGTGAAAGGCACCTGCCCTCCCCCGTTAACGAGCTGGCCGCAGACTCCCGTAATGCGGCGGTTCGGTTTATTTGGCGTCGGCTTCGTGTCACACTCTATTTTTTATTTATTATTTATAACTTTCCCTTCCATGTGTTCATGTTGGCGCCTAAAGCCGCGTCCGCTTCAGCGCGTTGATGCACGCCGTGTCCCCAGGCCGCGTGACCTTGAGAGCCAGCTTTCTGCCTGCTGACCGACTGCCTGTCATTAATCTTTTTCGCAAGTTGCCAGTGGGTTCTGAGTCCTAGCCTCCCTGTGACCAACCTGCAGGCCTCTGGACATCTCCGTGTGTAAATGTTACGTAAGTGTATCCCTTGAGAGCGCTCTGCTGTAAACTCTACCAGACGCTGAGTGCGTGACGTTCAGCCACGCCCAGTGTGTTTGGCCAAGTGTGCTGGATTAGTTTACACAGAGCAATTAAATACCTCAGAGAAAAAAAACAAACGTTAAACTTGATGTTAAATGTTCAGTTTAATTAAATGTGTATTTGATTTTTTTTATTTATAAAATTGCATTAATCATAATCATAAAGTACACATAACTCCTAATAAGTAATCTTTTGCAAAAGTTACATCCCAAAACTCAGGGTGATGATAGTCAGCTGATCTCTGACTGCTGTTTGACCAGTTTGGTATCTGTGGCTTTGCTTCCAGACCAGAAATACGTTATTTAACTAATGCTTTGGCATTCGGGGAGCCCGGCCCCTCGCCCCTCTTACCACCATCAAAGATGTACCCACACGCTCTGATCACATTTCCACACACTGGGGATTGTGAATCCCCCCCATGCCGCCTGTGTCACACAAGTGTGAGGTTTGATCTCAAGCGGCCTCTGTATCGTCCTTCTCCTGTGACGCCTGGCCAGAGGGGAGCCGACATGAACTAAACCCACCGCCGGCGTCGGGTCAGATTATCCACACAAGTCTATGGATCACGGTGAAGGCATGTGTGAGCACGCTCAGGATTTTGTGTGTGTGTGTGGCTGTGTGGATCAGATATCCATTACATTGTGGGGTCCAGATGTCCCCACAATGTGATTAAAAACCTGTTATTTTGACGTTATGATGTTTTTCGGTCCCCACAAGGGGAAATTTGTAAAAATCTGTGACTGCAATCAAATAACTAAAAATGGCCTTATATTTTGTTTAGTAACTTATGGTTAAGGTTAGGACTCCGTTGGGGTTAAGGTTGTCATTTTTGGGATTAAGGTTTTGCCCATAGAAATGAACGGTCCCCACAAGGATATAAGTACAGGTCTGTGTGTGTGTGTGTGTGTGTGTGTGTGTGTGTCAGAGAGAGAGAGAGAGAGAGAGAAAGTGAGACAGAATGTGTAGGTGAGTGTGTGAGCCTTGATCATTAACAGTGCTACAGTGGGAATCTGTCTGCAGAGGAGAGACTTCAGGAAAATGGCAGGGGTACCCCAAACACACTGTTGTGGTACCAGGAACATGTCCCCCATAGATATACCCCAGGGGAACGGTTTATGAAACATGTAATGGCTGATCTGTGCCAATGTGCGTGCCCATCACCCACAGCCCAGCTGGCATCAGACTCTCACCCAGCCCTTCCGTTGTCCCACTGGCATGAAGCTGCCATCAGATGAAAATTGGAATGTGATTGATGGCCCATGCGGGACAAACAAAAACAAACAAACCTCCAGAAGAGGTGTACTCGTGTAAGAACGGCATGAGGGGTGGGTCGGCTCTTTCGCTCCGGTCACCAGCTCCACCTTGGTGGATTGTCCCCAAGGACACGCTGGCTTGCAGGCTTGCTGCTCATGCGCAAAA